CTTTTGCACAGTACTGTATATATACACACATACATAGCAAGCACTGCTAGCTGAATTCTTCCCTCAGAATTTGGTTCCTAATATTGACACATATTAAGAGCTGTGCCAGATCAAAACAAAACTTAGCCTAATATTGTGTTCTCACACTGGTCAACCAGAGATCCATAGACTGCTTACAAACACAACAAAAATGGCAACTATACAGGCCTGGCTGTGCCCCTCAGCAATGGGTTTCAATGGCTTTTCATCTGGATGGGAAAATGGGTATTATCACTAGTCCATGAGTTTGCCCAATGTCCTTTTACAAACCATACAAATTATTGGTAACCCTCTCATAGGAATTTAAATAATAGAATGATGGAATTAGAAGGGACTGTAAGTTTAACCCTCCATAGTGTGCCAGAAAACCAATTAAACTATTCTTAATTCTTAAGTGGTGGCTTCCAGTCTCCTTAGAACTTTCCAGAGATGGAGAACCCACTATTTATAGGTAAATTCTTCTATCAGGAAGATCTTTATATTAAAATGAAATATAGGCATCTGCATCTTACACTTGTTTCTTATCCTAGTTTGTATCAAAGAAAAATAGTTCCTGACCATCTTCCTTATAACACCTTTTTATGTACTGGAGCATCTTTTCCAGACTGAGCATCCCAACCTGTCCTCACAGGGCATGTCCTCAAGTTCCTGTATCATTTTTGTTGCCTTCTTCTGAATCTGTTCTAACCTGTCAATACCCTCCTGAAACGTGCATTTCAGTATTCCAAGTATGGTCTTAACAGTGCAGAATTGAGAATACTGTAAGGGCATCATGGGTATGCAGCTGGAGAAATGGGTTAGCTCTTCTAGCATCTGTCCTACGCTGCTGGCTTACGTTCAGCTTGTCAGTGACCATACCCTTCTCCAGTGTTGTGCTTCCAAGCCATGTATCCCCCAGTGTTTATATGTGCTCTATTCCTCCCTAAATGTAATCCCTTAAATTTCTCTCTGTTGAAGGATAACTTTATTCTTGTTTACAATTTGAGATTTTTGAATAATTATTGATGGACCTTCTCTTCAGCCAAAATATCTGTATATATGTACATACCCATCACATTATTCTCTTTTGGGGTAAGCAGCATTATGCAGAACACAGAAAAGGAGTAAGAAATAGCAAGTCAAAGAAATTAAAGGC